ACTAATTATATGCCTAAACCTGTTGACGACTCACCGACTGATCCGTTGGAATATTTTCGGCGGCAAGCAAGCCTCTCCAAGAAGGATGCCCAGGTCCGGAATCTCACTGGCAAAGCCTATGAAAGCGCGTTGGTGGATGTACAGTTTGTGCGGACGCTGTTGAGAGCAGCTACAAGCCGCATTGAGCTGCTGTGCGATATTGAAAAGCTGTGCAATAGCTCGGGGATCGGTTCACTGCTGCTTGGCAGAGGAGCCGCGCCTCTGCCATCACCAGATGTCCTTGAGAAGTATCAGGACCGAGTTACCTTCGAAGACTTTATGGTGATGCTCAAAGGGGTCCCGTTCCGTGTTAAGGAAAAAGCTTTAGAAGAGGCAGGGACGGTCGCCAGGGTCCTGGCAGAACGACTGGCTGCCTCTGTGAAACTGGAAACAATGCAGCTGGAGAATGATCGAAAAGTGCATTCGTCTTTCCAAGAATTTGCCTTAACGTTGCCTCCTGGTGAAGTGCACATCGTCCATGCGAAAAATGTGATGTTTGGCGTTTCGCCGCTCTTGAGTGCCCTTGGCAGGGCTATCTTTGACAGAGAGGCAAATACCCTTGACGCAGAAGCACTTGGCTCTTGGGTTGCGGACTGGGATACGGAAGGCGTTTTGGGCCGCATAGCTGTCAACGAAGAGGATATGCAGGCCGTCCTTGGGATGCGGCTTAGGAACTACCCTTCAACTTCGCCGGATGACATTTTTGCCTCTGCTCTTGCACTGTTCTAGCCCTGGCTCTCCTGGAAGCATCCAATCCTCCTCATGTTTGCAGGGCCTTCGGGGCTGTTAGTCTCGAGTTGTTTACCGGTGGGGACCAGCTTACGTTTTCCAATTTTCCCGGCGATTTTCTGGTAAGATATGACTTCGCCGTGGGCTACAACGCGAATCAGCCATTCGCTCTCGGTGCTGCCGAGCGCATCTCCGGCTGGCTCCAGACGTAAGCATTGCCTGCCCGATGTTCACAGTGTGACAGTGCTCATCGTCGCCAAGGTAGTCCTTGGAGGATGCGCCGCCATATTACAGGTTTTCAACTCCCATGTCTCGGAGCCCAAGTTTATCCTTCGCTATGACGGAAGTAATGCCCCACACTACAACGCTCGTTCCCACGGTTATCGCAGTTCCACATCCAGTCGCCAACCCCCGTGCCTTTGGCATCTTGCCATTCTGCTTCGTAATTCTATGACCAGATGATCAGGGAGGTTATCAAGTGCAGAGCAGGGCTTCCACGACGTCCGTATGACCAGGCGGATACAGCTAGGCAGATGCTCACCGGATCGGGGCGTTTTCAAGACCGATGGATTTGAAAACTTTTGTTTCCATTGCTATCTACGTGAATGAGGTGCGTTCAATGCATCAAATGGCCTTACGTTCGAGCTGAAGAGTATATACCGGGAGACAAGAGGGTTTGATTTCTCCGCCGCCGAATATTGTCGTTCTGCAGGCATGTTTGGTGCTCTTTGGCGTGTTAGTAGCTTGACATATTTATTCCTGGCGGGAAACACCCCGTCCGTCAGTTGTTGAGCACGTGATGTAGGAAATACACCATTAGTTTCCAAGGAGCCTGGTTCATGGGAGCTTGCCTCGTAGCTTCTGGCTAACTGACGCCGGAAGCGTCTACTTCTGTACACCTTCTTGCCCACAACATGAAGCGCTGCAGAAATGTCACTCTCTGCATGTGCTATTTCTCCTCTTAAGGCGACAGTGCACTGCTATTTGAGTGGGGTACTGCGCCGTTCACTCAGTTCAACACGAGAATGGCAGCAGTCCGTTGGCTAGCTGCATCGGCCCGATGGTGAGGTGCGTACACATCGCCTCTACACCCTTTATCTCTGTAGCGGCGCCTCGCAGAAACACCCGTGCTTATTCCATGCGCTATGCCATTGTGATTCGATTCGACCAACTCATCAGGGCTCTTAAGCCCGATCGTATACCTAGCCTTACGCGTCTTCGAATAGCGCACCAAGAGTCGCAAGG